TGGTCTTGAGCTCCTGACCTCAAGTGATCCACCTGTCCCAGCCTCTCAGAGTGCTGGGATTACAGGCGTGACCCCCAGCGCCTGGCCTGCACAATTTTGCATTCCCACCAATAGTCCCCAGTATTTTGCATGCTTTTTGCCCGGTGTTGATTTAATGTCAGTGCATCCCTGGCACTGCGTCCTTGTCTCCTACTTCTCAGCCCTTGTCTGGGTTCCTAGAACCTTGATGTCAGGGAGTGCCTAGGTCATTGTGCTCATTCGACAGATGGGAAGACGAGCTCTCCAGAGGAGAAATGACCTGTTCAAGTCCCCAGGCCTGATTCTCACAGACCTGTCACTTGACGCTTTGCTTCCTGAGCAACTGATTTGGGCTCTGGCACTCCCTGGAGTGCCCTCATCCTATGACCCACACAGTTCGTCCACTTCTCACCGGGGCTGCGGTTCCTGTCCCCACAGGTCCAACGGGCGCCCCTCCAAGCAGAGCCTTGGAGGGCAAGGCCGGCACCATTACCTCCAACGAGTGGAGCTCTCCCAACTCCCCTGAGGGGAGCAACGTCTCTGGGGGCAGTCAGGCGCTGGACAAGCCCATCGACAATGATGCAGAGGGCGTGTGGAGCCCGGACATTGAGCAGAGTTTCCAGGAGGCCCTGGCCATCTACCCGCCCTGTGGCCGCCGTAAAATTATCCTGTCGGACGAGGGCAAGATGTACGGTAAGGAGCCCGTCAGGTTCGGCCCCGTACCTGAGGCTGAGGCAAGGGGCCGACACGGAAACCTTGGGGTTCCTGCCAGGCCGCGGAGGGGGATGGCCACTTGGGGCTTCGTCACGTGGACACTGCTTTCTTCCTTCCTGGGCTCCCAGGGATGGGGGCCCTGAGGAGAAGCCTGTGAGGGGGTGTGGAGGGTGGGGCCCCTGGCGGTGAGCAGCTGTGGGAGTGGGAATCTTGGAGAGTTTGGAAAGGGCGAGTCTGGGTAGGGTAGAACGTCCCCCCAGAGCAGACGGGGAGCACCCCACAAGCTGTACCCCAGCAGGTGCCTGAGCACCAGGCTGCGCACTTTGACTGAAGGATGCTCAGTCATCCCCTCTTTCCCTCAGTCACTCACTCATTCGTGCGGCAGACACATGCCGGGCCTTCTGTGTGCCTGGTGTGGGCTGGGCAGGTCTGGTCCCAGCCCGTCATCTGGGGTGCGGGGAATGTGAACTCACAGATACCGGCCCTGCAACGCAGCCTGGAGAGCTCCTAGGAGAGGCAGAGTGCCGGAGACCACTCCCCTAGGAAAGGCCCCCCAGCCCGGCAGAGGGTCACTAGAAATGGCTTGATCTTCGTGCGTGACTGGGGTTGCAGAACACAACAGAAACTGTTCAGCACCACGTGGGAAGGACCGAGCAGGTGGCATGGGGCCACGATGACTTTTGGATGGAAGAGGGGGCATCTGGAAAAATGAAGCAGGGGCCAGGCATGGTGGCTCACTCAAGCCTGTGATTCCAGCACTTTGGGAGGCCAAGGTGGGAGGATCACTTGAGGCCAGCAGTTTGAAAACAGCCTGGGCAACAAAGCGAGACACCACCTCTAGTAAAAATTAAAAAAAATTAGCCGGGTGTGGTGGTGCTAGCCTGTAGTCCCAGCTAGGGGGGAGGCTGAGGCAGAAAGATCGCTTGAGGCCAAGATGTCAAGGCTGCAGTGTGCCGTGATTGCACTGTTGCACTCCTGCTTGGGTGCCAGAGTGAGACCCTATCTCAAAAAAAAAAAAAAAGAAAGAAAGAAAAATGAAGCAAGAATGAAAACTGAATGGCTGTTGGAAGGCCCAGATCAGGCTTCTGTTCCCACTGGAAAGTCCTCTGGGAACCCTAGCTCAAAACAGTGGTCTTGGGGCAGGATAGAGAACCCTGAGTGGGTCTCTAAATGGCTGAAGTCAGTGACAACGAGGCCTCTGCCTGGCTTCCAACAGGATAGCCCCAGACCAGCTGCCCACTCTCATGGGTTTCCGTTCATTTCTCTTCCGCACCCAACACTGGTGCCACCCCCACCACTGTTGCTTTGCTCACCTTCCCCAGAAGAAGTCTCCCTTACTTCTGGGTCGGCCCTCCAGACCATCCCTGCTCTGACCACTTCTTGCTCTGATGGTTGCTTATTTTTTCTTTTTCTTTTTCTTTTTTTTGAGATGG